GTTTTTCAACTGCCTTCAAACTGATTCAGCAATTCAATCAAAAAATGCTTTGAATGTCACTAGTGATGGGAAATCGAGGCTTTCTGAACCATTTGAGGATTTCTTGAAATTGTGCCGGAAAACGGTTCATTACTCGAAGCTTTTAACACAGCGACATCTGGTGGTCAGACTCGGTTTCTCCACCAAAACATCACGGAGCAGAGGATGGTTTGAAAAAGTTTTTAATCTGTGCTAACTCGTGTCATGCGTAGTCCGGTCAACGGATTCACATATTGATCAATAATATAAAATATACAAGTGTGTGATTATAATTAATAATTGACGTGAGTAGTAGCAAAGATATTTTGGGTGAGCTGTTCGTGGTTTCTGAGACCCCAGCTAGAACATGATCAAATGCAATAGAGGTGTGACGTGCATTCAGTTTCTATCTGGTGTTGAGGTTATTCTAAACTATTCTACTGAGTCCCAAATAAGTGTACACACACACACACACAAGTCAAACACAAGAGTCATGCGAAGCGCCGATTTTTTCAGACCAGCTGTCCCGGTCTTCCGATGCTGCATGAGGTTCGAAGCTTCAAACGTCATCAATCACGTGGTGTTGTCATTTCGATACAAGCATCGGCACAGTGTGTGATACAATAGTGCTTTGAAAACTGCGTCGGAGCCTCGGAGCCTCGGTATCAATCGTCCCATCACTTCACTAAAACAATACAAGCCTCGATACGGAGCTCCATCTGGAAGTACAAGACATTTTCGATGCAAGCTTCGAAGTCTTGGTATCCGGCGTAACATCACTAGAAAATGTGGATGGCCAATATAACTATATCAAACGTTAATTGTGATTTTGCTTTCTCAGTATGTTAATACAGCTGCACAGTAGAAGACTGCTTGGAGTGTTTGACTTCTTAAAGCAATAAAGAATGCACAGGAATAAGAAGTTAAGCAGCGCTCGATGTTAAATGAGTTATTTAAAACAGTCTCTCAGGCTGCATGCGATCCCCAGTTCAGTTCACAGCATAATGTGCTTCAACGGTCTAAAACCAGTGTTCGAATTGTGTCAAAGCTCTTGGGGACAAGTCTCAGACTGGGTTGACAAAAAATTATATTGTTATATTTTCTGGGATTTTATCGATAATAATTGATCATCAGACGATATTTTGCTGAGTGTGTTGCGCTTTAGGACTGTCATGGACAGCCGACTCTGTGGTGGTCAGTTCACAGCAGTGACAGAAGTTAATCTTTTCCAGCAAGTTTTAAATGATTTTTACCCTTTATGGGTATTTTTGCCTTTGTAAAGCCATTTTTTTCTAGAAGTGTCGCTTACATTTAAGTCAATTACAATAATAAGACATTTCGGGCAGTTACCAAACAAATAAAATCATTATCAACAAAATTCATGCAATGCAGAGGAAACACAGAAGCTGCATCTGAAGTGGCATTAGATGCAGACACTGTTTAATGCAAGGCATGAATGCTCTAACCTGCAGTTACAAATGCATAAATAATGTTTTGTTATTTTAATCTTAAAACGTTGAATACTGATATTTGAAATGATTAAAAAATATATATAAAAAGGTACTTTAAATGTGAAATTAAAACCGCCAGTAGGTGGCAGCAAGTCACTGTTAATAAGTGAGTCATTGCGATTGAACCGAATAATTTAAACGGTTGATTCATTCAGGAACGAAACACCGTCATGTTTTTCAGAAACGCAAAACAGTGCTGTGGCTTTGTTTGGAACCATTTGTGTTGGCGAAATAGAGCAAAAAATAGGTGTCTAAAACATAATTCTCTTAATATTAACTTCTTGATTATTGAACTGTTGTATAAAATTAAAAAAGTGAACGTAAAGAAAGAAATCGGATGTTTGTCAGTAATGATCTGTACATTAGGTCTTAAAGTGACAGCACTATTTACTTGCTGCTGTCTGTCATCATTAATCTTAAAAGAAACAGAGAAAACTGCTCTTGGCTTAAGTAAGAATCATCTATTTAATTCATACCGTGAACATTATTCAGTGTTTTATTTTTATTTTTTTTCACTTTATTTATTCTTTTTTCAAACATGTTTAAACAAAAAAAATTCAAACAATTACATAATTGTGTATTTTCTTTCCACAACTCTGAATTAACAGAAAGTAGAAAAATAATAGATAAATAACCAAACAACCAAATAATTATATGAATAAAGTGAGTGCATACTATACAAAATAGCAAGATACATTTCAATACTTTGTTATAGTGTTTTATTTTTTGATTATTCAATTTCTAGAATGCTAGTGTTAAATAGACTTACTATACCGGAAAAAATTAAGGTGACATATTATGTCCCTTTTTACAATATGTAATATATGTCTCTGGTGTCCCCAGAATGTGTCTGTGAAGTTTCAGCTCAAACTACCCCACAGATCATTTATTATAACATTTTGAAAAAGGCTATTTTGAGTGGAAGCAGAAACAAGCTGTTTTTCTGATCTGTGTGGCAGCAGCAATGTACAGTAAATAAATCAATAAATGCACTGCTCTCTCGTCTCCTCTGAGGCTGGGACTCTAAACAGTGTTCTGTGCTCGTCTGTGCAGCCAAACACTGAACAGTCAGCATGTTCTGCTCAAACTTTCTCCATGGCATTAGAGCTGCTACACTGCTGTCGCTTGTGAAAACATAAAAATGGCGCCGTGGGTGGAAACTTACAGATTAAGGGGCGGTAATATTATAATGAGATCCCTTTGCCACGTCACAGAGGGAGCGAAATCAGACGTTAGTTTTCTCAGACGCTTGCAGAAAAAGGCTTCCCAAAACAAAGTTACTGGGTTCATCTTTTTCAGGTTTCCTTGGTAGTTATATGCCCCGGGGACCTAGCACTTACAACCTGGAGAAGTCAGATTTTCATGATATGACACCTTTAAAGCAGTGTTCATTTATTTTGTATCTTATATTGTATTTGTCCTATTGTTTGTCATTTCCACCTTTTATCATATTATTTAATAAATGAAATTAAAATATATTGTTATATGTATTGTTTTTGTGAAATATAATTAGCCTACTCCTATCTAAATTTGTCATATCACCCATCCTCTATTTGGGAAGAATACATATAGCTTATGACAGATATATTTATTCATTAACTGTTAATAATCGTTTGAAATAGACTGCTAGTTTATTTTATATGTCTGCGATCTCCCCGAGCTGTCTGGGGAACACGTGACAGAGTCGAAGCGTTTCATTGGTTTGGACTACAAAGCCCAGAGTTCATAGCGCCTCAGAAGGCGGAAGTGTCGTCGAAAGTATCGAAAATAAGGATAAGTTCAAATCAAATGCTCAAATAGCACATAAGTACATTCATGAAAATTATTATGGTTATGTTCAAATATATTCTGATGCATCGAAAAATATGGAAGACAAAGTAGGTGTGGCGTTTAGTATCCCAGGATATAATGTGAAAGTCAGTAAAAGAATCACAGATAATCTGTCAATTTACACAAATGGTGAAATGATTGCAACTGTACTGCCATTGCACTGGGTGGAGGAACATTAGCCAATGCGGACACTCATATGTTCTGATTCAAGTTCATCTTTA